CCCCAACCTAAATGGATGTGGACATCATTTGTCATTAAAAACAAGATAACTGGGGACTGTAGAGATGATTCAGTGGGTAAAGTACTTGCTGTGTGTGATGATTAATGCTGTCAACTTGGCAGGATCTAGAATCGTCTAGGAGACAAGCCCCTGGGAACGCCGATGAGGGTGTTGTCCAAGCTAGGTTAGCATCTGGGGATGTCTGTGGGGGTGCTATCTTGAGTGGGTTAAGGTGGAAAGACCTTCTCGCTGTGAGGAGCATCATTCCCTGGACAGGGATCCTGGACTGTATAAAAAGGAGGAGAGCTGAGCACAAGACTTCATCTGTCTCTGCTTCCTGACCATGGATGTGATGTGACCTGCAACCTCAAGCTCCTGCCACTGTGACTTCCCAAATGATGGGCAATGACCTCCATCTGTGAACCAACAGCCCTTTCTCTCCAAGTTGCTTTTGTCAGGGTATTTTATCACAGGAAGAGGAAGACAGCTGTGACACTGCGTGAGCGTGAGGACCTGGGTTTGCGTTCCCAGCACTCACCTAAAGAGTCAGGCATGGCGGCACACCCCAGCACTGGGAAGGTGGAGACACGTGGATCCCTGGAGCTCACTGGCCAGTCGTTCTAGTCAATTGGTGAGCTCCAGGTTCAGTGAGAGACTGTCTCAAAAAACAAAGTGGAGGCCTGGAGAGATGACTCGGCGGTTAAGAACACTGGCTGCTCTTACAAAGGACTGGGTTCAAATCCCAGTACCACATGGTGGCAATCAACCAGCTATAACTACAGTTCCAGGGGATCTGATGCCCTCTTCTGACCTCTGCTGGTATTGTGCAACATGAGTGCACTTACGTACATGCAGGCATTACACTCATACACATAAAATAAAAAATAATAATTTTAAAAACGGTGGGAGAGTAGTGGAAGATGGCAGACATCAACCTCTGGCCTCTGGCACAGACAAGCATATTTGCATATGTATATACCACACACACACACACACACACACACACACGTACACATACATACCCCCACACACACACTGCACATTTAAAAAAAAAAGACATCTGTAAAAATTAATGTAATTGAGAATGAACCTTGTTAGGAAAGTCTGACTAGCTGTATGGGAGCCCCCAAAGCTCTGAGCCTACTCTCTTTGTTGAAAAGGGGGTGTCAGCCCATTTCTGTTTCTATAACAGAGTGCCTGAGACTGATTGATTTTTTAATTACTTTTTAATTTTATTTGGGGCGAGGGAGGCAAATGTATACCACAGTGCCTGTGTGGAAGTCAGAGAACAGCTTGTGAGAGTCAGTTCACTCCTTCCACCATTTGGGTCCCAGGGATCGAGCTCAGGTTGGCAGGTTTGGCAATATCTTAACCTGCTGAGGCCATCTTGCCAGCCTGAGACTGGGAGTTTAGAAAGGAAAGAGGTTTATTACGTTCATGATTCTGGAAGCTGATGTGCAAGATTGTGGAGCCACAAGGACCCTGTCCTCCATCAACCCATAGTAGAAGGCAGAGGATGGAGCACACTGAAGAATTAAGGTCCCAATGTATGCACTCTGGGGGAGGCCCTCCCACCACAGCAGGAAGGTGATAAACACTAGACATTCCTCCCATTTGGTGACAGCAAGCAGAGCTTGGCCCTTGACATGTGACACTGGGCACCTGGCCTCAAGGCCTTAAGAAACAGATCCCTGGGAAATGGAAAGAAAGAGGATCCCTCCAAGACTAGCAGCATCCAGACCCAGGGTGAATGTGACAAGATAAAGGACGTGTTTTGAAAGTGAGTCTTCTTGGATGGACTCTAAAGCAGAAGGAGTGCAAATGAATTGGAATGTTGGCTGTCTCCCAGAACATCGGCAGCAGCCAGCCCTGGCCCACTCCAGCCCTGTGAATCAACAACTGTGAGGGGCTAGGGTTTACGTCTTTGGCTGTGCAGACAGGGAGCTGAGGCCCACAGAGATGAAGAGACTCAGGAATACAGAGCGTGGGTGCCCCCACCACCACATTACACCACTGTCATGTGCATCAAGTTCCAACCCTCATTGCTCTAAACAGTCCCCTCCCATCTGACCTTGCTGTTCTGGACTGTATTTATCTAGACCCAGGAGGAAGGAGAAAGTGCTTCAGGCTTGGTGGCATAAGACAGGTTGACAAGAGGGTCCCCATGAAGAGCTGTGGACAGCCAATGGGATCAGATGGAAGCATGGCACCTGGGTGCTTTGAACTGGTATAGCCCAGCCTATGTTCTCTGTCCCTCCCCTTCAGGACAGAGAGACCCCTGGTGAAAGCTGGGAACTCTGGACCCTAAGGGCCCAAGGTAAGGCATGGAGGTGAGGCTCTAACACCCCCTCTTCACCCCCTCCATCTCCTGCTTGTACCCCCACTGGCTAGACCTATAAAGAAACCAGATGGCAGAGCCTGTGGAGTGGTCCTTGGGGGCAGGGGCTGCCAAGCCCAGGGCACCTGAGAACAGAAGAAGACTTGGAGCAGAGCCCAATAGGGCCCGCACTGGGGTCGTCACCGGCAACCTCCCAATACACCAAGGCAGTAGAGTGGACTTCAGTCACCAAGTCCCCTGGGCGGTAAAACACCTGCTAGCCACACACAGAGACAAAAGAGAAGCACTTCCAGATTCATCTCGAAAATGAGGGCTGATTGGCCAGATCATCAGGACAGTCATAGTGAGGTCATTGAGGAAGCACTGAATGCCTCCCCAGGGTGACGGAGCCTGAGGACCTAAGGTCTCCATCGGCTGTCACTGCTCTGGGGAGCTGCACACTGCTGCTGGAGTGGCAGCTCCATGTTAAGGCTTGTCTGTACCCTTCCCTGGATGGCCAATACATGATCCATAGACCCCAATAAATCTTTTTTTTTTTTGAGACTGACCTGGAACTATGTAGACCAGGCTGGCCTTGAACTCACAGAGATCTGCCTGCCTCTGCCTCCCAAGTGCTGGGATTAAAAGCTTGTGCCACCTTGTCTGATCAGACCCTAATAATTCTTTTTTAAAAAATATCTC